ATTCACGTCTATTCTCCATTGGCGGAACCATTCACCTAGGCGATTGGTGGCTTTTTGGAGCTTTATCGGGAGCCTATTTTTGTTGTGGTCTGACACATAAAGTGCCGTATCGTCGGCGAAGAGTGCGGCGTTCACCACCGGGTCTTTAGGGATATCACTCGTGTAGAATGTGAAGAGGAGTGGAGATATGACGGAACCCAGTGGGGACCCACGGCCGTAACCCCCCTTGAGGAAGCGTTTCGAAGAACGGGTTCCCTCCACTCGATAACGAAAAGTGCGATTTGAAAGGAAGGCTCGTATGATGTGCAAAAGCCTATCGGGCATGTTTAGCTTGTACAGCTTGTAAATTAAGCCTGTCGTGCCAGACCCTGTCAAATGCCTTCGCGACATCGAAGAAGAGGGCTCCCCGTGTTTCGAGCCTTTTTCCTTATTGGGTCGTGGTTGAAGCCAGAAAGAATATATTCTGTTAGGCGATGAATCTGGTGGGTGCATGAGTGATTGGCTCTAAAGCCAAACTGTTCGGCTGGGAGGAGTGCGTTAGATTCTGTGTAATGATGGAGACGCTTATGAATAATGCACTCGTATAATTTGTCCAATGTGTTGAGCAGGCTAATGGGTCTGTAGCTAGAGAGACGATTACGCGGTTTACCCGGTTTTGGGATCCCTATTACGTCTGCTTCTTTCCAAATGTCCGAGAAGGAGCAGTTAGTTAGAAAGGTGTTAAATATTCCTACAATGAGGCAAATAAGTGGCGCCCAAAGGGATTTGATCACTTTGTTGCTAATGCTGTCTGGCCCAGGGGTTGATCTATTCTTAAGACTTTTGATGGTTTCTGTGACTTCATCTACTGTCACAGTATCGAGTGGTTCACCCGCGGGTGGCAGCGCAGACCTACGTTCTACTTCCGTTTCTACCTCTAGTAGGTGAGCGGGTTCTATTGGTGCAGTGGATGGCGTGCACTGGTACTCTAGACTGTCGGCTAGGCATTCGGCTTTTTAGAGATCGTCTAGGGCGAGATCGGGGTGGTCCAGCCTCACGAGAGGCGGCATCGGTGCGGATTTGTCAGCTTTAAGAGCTCTCATTAGTTTCCAGAAGGCGTCTTGGGATGGTTCGATACCTTCTAAGAGGTTATCCCAGCTATCGTTTCTAAACTCGGCTACTCGTTGTTTAATCTCGTTTTGTAGAGAACGTACCCGAAGTTTCTATGATCGATCGAAATTTTTATCAATCCTGTGTTATAGGTATGGTTTAATAAGAAGTCTGCCCTCCTATAATGAGAAACTTAAAAAGTTTTACATTATATCACCACAAACTTGGTGTAAATATCAGGATATGACTTGCCTTTTCAAAATTATTCATTCCCTTATTGATTCCCTCCTTCCCTAATTTCATTTAGCAAGATTAATACTAAGCCCGATTGTCGGTATACTTTCCTAAACACTTTCGCTGCAAAGCAAAAAGAAAAGTTTAATTTAGTCGAATTACAATCTTCGAGTAGGAATGTGTCGCCTATACATTGACTTATTAATTAATAATAGCGAAAATATAGACATTTTTAATAACAATGTAAACAATTCTAAAATACCAGTTTGAGATATACTTTGTAAATAAGGCATTCAAGGCTTAAAATTTAAATTTAAATACAAAGGTGAATGAGTATTATTTCAATAAAGATTTAAATTTGTTCAAAATTTTCCACAACATAAGTTTATAAGTAAGGTTATAAGTATTTGCGCTGTAAACTCGTTACTAATATCATGTTGTGTGCACATGTTTTGGAATATCATCCAGATTGTAACTTTGCATAAGTTCAATTGGTCATATTTTGGTGTTATTCTGTTTTGTGTACCTAGATAAATAAATAAATAAGATCATGTAAATATGATTAATTAACACAAAAAAAGAATATTAGTTATACAATATCCTTGGTAGAAAATATATAATTATACTGTATGGCAAAAGTATGTTTGCTATGGTTTCAAAGATGTAAAATAAGATCCCGAATAACATAAAAAAAGTGTAGTGATATACAGATTTTCAAAGATAAATTGTTCCACTTTCTAATTGAACATTCAATTAATTCTATCTATCAATGCTTTGTCAAGTGTTTAGAGGTTGACTGTATTAAATGACATGTAATAAAGCTAAAGACTAATAAATGTGACCCAATTATTTTTTTATAAACAGGCTGACAAACGAGCACACAGTCCACCTGATGGCAAGTGGTTACTATGGCCCATAGATATCTACATATATCCTCGATTACGAATCGAAATGCAGATGTATTACCTCGTTTCCAGTAAAAAGAGTCACCGATTCTGTACACTCACCATACGAAACACAGCGACATTAAGTTATTATTTTACGCTGGTATTCTGTGAGAGCGAGGTCCTTCCCCGGTCGAGTCGACCCATTCGTGCTACAACTATACTACTAATATAACTGCAGCACGGCTCAATTGTAACTAATATTATTTAAAATAAATAATGTAATCTTATAATCTAAAATATTATTTTGAATAATGTAATAAATAAACTTCTAATGATATTTAAAATATGTAAGCCCATGAGGCTGATCACAGACTGAACTTTATATGTATTTAATTAAAACCTTTTTGTAACCAGTAAATCACAAATAAACTATTTAATTTAATTTGATTTAAAGACGCTCCAAATGTAACTTTCTCCATAGCTCCCTGATCTATCTTACGCTTCTTCCCACGGCCAGCAGTGAGGGACCACGTCTCAGATCCATAATTTTTCTGGCAACACGAACGGTTGTACAATCTCGTTTTCGATCTCGTTTTCAAGTTTTAGGTGTACCTGACGGGAAGATGTGTTGTAATTTCCCGAGCGCTGTTCAGCCAAGTTGAATCTTGATGAATGAATGAGTTGAATCTTGACCTCTCGGTCGATGTTGGACTTACCTAGTCGGTTCCGTAGTAGCTCAGATGGTTAGCACTTGCCGTAAATCTCATAGCACGTGAGCAACCCGGGTTCGATCCCCGCCGGCACCAATTAAATTTAATTTTAAATTTAAATTGTTGATTTATCACGTGATTACCCTAAAACCCGCTCAAAAATGAGAGGAGGCTTGTGGCCAGTATTAGGTCGTATATAGGGTCTAACTTTAGTGTCGGATAAGACTTTCCCTCGAATATTTACTTACACTTGCGTGTAGCTCCAACGATGATGTGCAGCTGCACATAGAATAGAGCCTCTCATTGGTCCCGCCACATGCATTTGGAGATCTGTCTGTTTACTTATTTATTACCTTATTATCTGCTAAAGACTGCGGCTTCATTTCCCTTCTAACAACCAAGAGATTAAGAGTGTAAATGGAGAGATTTTGTGTTCTTTTGCGGCGAGTCTTGCAGAAATTAGCTCTTACCGTATGGTCAGTTTCCACGAGCTTTTCATCCATATCTTCCACGGCATTGTTGTCTTTTAGGCACTGAAGACGATTTTGTAACTCGAGTTGAAAGTTTTTGGAATAGAGCACAATCTACAATTTAACGTTTTATGTTCAGTGTGCCTCACACCACTCGGTAACTGCTGCCAATCTTTACCCTTGCGATCATTGAGAATGAATGATAATAGCTCTTGTTTTAATTGCTCTTACATAATGTGATATCTCGAACATCTGTGCGGTGCTTCATTTGATTAAACTCGGTAACATTTAAGTAACTTACCCGGAATAAATATGAATAAAGTTGGAATGCAAAACCAAAGCTAGTTACAGAAAGTCTGCAAGCGCATTAAATACTCGTAGTAGCACTCAGAGCAGTTCGGATTTTCTAATTGTTAGATAAATAAATGATGTTTGCTTTACGAGTGCATCGCTTAATGTCTTTGTTCAGTGAATATAAATGTGTGATGTGGTGATAAAAAGGGCCAATATCTATTATTGATGACAGTTTGAGTAATGAGTATTTAAACATTGTACCATCAGTAACAGTTATTATTATAGGGTAAAATTGTTGTACTACGTTTTGATTTATATTTTTGTGTTGATTTATGAATTATATTCTAATTTGAGAAAAATTTACTATTTTTTAAAATAAATATTATTTAAGCCCATTTGGCACCGACAATTATCATGATGTTAGTTTCTTATTATGAATAAAATTAAAAAGCACAGTGTCATTTTTTTAGAAATTAACATCTGTTTCATCATCTGAAAATGACACAATATCCTCTACTTCAGGGTCAGAAACCAGGAAAACATAAAAGGAACGGCTTGATAGTTGAAAGTACTCAAGAAGTGATAGGTTTCTTACTTGGCTGCAGGGAGGCTTATATCCCTAAATAACAAACAATTGTTATTTAGGGGTATGAGTTAGAATGGGTGCAGTATCTTCTGATAGTAATTGTGAACGTGACATGTTTCGTATTCATTTAAAATTGAGCATTTTGAATTCCTCGTATCTTCGAATGAGTATTTATAGAGAATTACGCCTGGACTTTCTTTTCTGATTTGGATTCATTTTATTTTATTCCAATTAACTTTATCCTTTGACTCTGAAATCTTCCTATGTATGTTGTTTGTTGTAAGCAGTTTTGTTTAAAGTTGAATAAAAGAAGACTGGTGCATTACTATAACATTTATTTTTGGATTCCTGTGTACTATTATGATCAAATTTGCCCACTCTTTTGGTAATTCTATTTTCATTGCAGTTTTTTTGGCCTTTTTATAGTAGCATGTAGCAGAGTGTCTGCTTCCATATATTTATTACCAGGTTGTAAAAACTTTTGGTTTATAATGTTTGGAGATTTGTTAGAGTGTTCCATAAAATAAGTGATCATAATAGCAACATAAATATTCCGATTCTATCCTAGACAGTTGTCGATATACATGTTAATTTCATCCAAGTAACTAGGCAGGGTTCTTAGATGGCAGTATAAATACGATGCTATTTCTTGCCCTCCTCTGTCTGCAATGTTTTCATCCCACAATAAACAAAATGCATCAAAATATTTTGATGAAACTCTATAAATTGTTTAATTCACAGTCCATAATTGTCGCTTGTGAAAACTAAACCCAGCTGTTAAATAGGGTTTTGGAAGACACTTCTTTAAGTCAAGAGACAGTGTTATAACTTTATCACTCGCTCTAGCTTTTTCATTGTCTCTTCTTTTCTCATTATATGATGACTCATACAGCTTTTCATGTTCTTTTCTTGCTGCTTCAATTTTTAGTCTTTTTTCTAAGTCAGGCTCCACTTCAAACTGTTATTTAAATATGTAACTTTTTTCCACAAGTGTCATTTTTAAGTTCCTTGAATGATAAATTAAACTCCACAAAAACTTTCCTGTAGTAGCTTACTTTAACAGGGGTTCGTCCATTTTCATTATGATGTGCGACATACAGACAATACATCAATGCAATAGAAAGATCACCATTCAGATATTTTTTGGCAGTGAGATCTAGAATATTGGCTTTCATAAGCTGTAAATATATTTATATGCTCTTTCACTTCTTACTTTTTTACCTCACTAATTCTTTTTTGTTTTTTGCTTTCCTCGCTGGTCGTTAGAAAGTATTAAGTTTCTTTTTTTTTCAAAGTTACTCTTACTTTTTTCAGTGACAATGATAATGTATTGAGAAGCATATTGTTGCTCACCACAGTTTATGTCTGGTACACTGCAATAGCGCCATCTATTATCGAATAGAAGATCTAAGCTTTCTAGATAACTCCACACTCGAATTTTCTACATCTAGTCGATTGAGAACGGTATTTGCTAAAACATTCTAGACGTTTCGGTGGAAAAGGCCTACATAAAGCCGTTTAGGGCCGCGAATGGCGCAGTATTGATTTGGCGATACGAGCGAAGCATTCGAAGCGAAATAAAGTGAACTAAAGTGTTAAGTGCGATTAATTATTAGTGTGATTTATATTGAATTGATAGTGGTGTTCAGAAATTAGTGTCAATGTTGGTTATTCAATCGGCAGTTTTTACTGTCACGAACCTTAAGCTCGTAACAATATTTTGACTTACTTCAGTTCGAGATAGGCTTCGATCCGTAAAAAAGTATTGTTACGAGCTTGAGGTTCGTGACAATAAAAATTGCCGATAAAATTACCTAAATTAACACTTTAATTTACTTTACACAAATTAAAGTTAAAAACACTAATAATTAAACACACTTATTCACTTTATTCCGCTCCGAAGCTTCGCTTGTTTCGCCAAATCAACACTACTTCGATCACATCTTGCAGCGCCTACTTATATAAATTAGCAAAATATCCAGAATGTTCAAGTAAACACGCGCAAGGTACCGAGAGTTCGAGTTTTAAACTTCAAGAAGTTTAGTTCTTTGGTTCGAGACTAGATGGCACTAGTGCGCCGATTTTAGCGCGTAACACTGCCCCCTCCTAAGACATGCTCGTCCCGAGCATTATCGGTCCCATAATAACGTGCTAGGCGATCCACATGGATGATCTTAGGAGTCCCTCTTGCGCCTTTCTGTAATGGCTCCGCAATGTCAAGGGATGTCCTATCCCGTGGTGCACCAACATTTTACAATTTCGATGCTCCTCTACTCCATGTCTGAGGTCCCCTCACAGCCGCACAACTTGTACATGTGCGACACCAATCCTCGACATCGTCACGATAATGGACCCAGTAAAACTGTTCTCGGACCTTCAGTAGAGTTCGTTTAACTCCCAGATGGACTCTTGACCGACCATTATGGCACAGTTGTAGAACATTCGGCACTTTAGCTTTAGGGACGACCATTTGCAGACGACAGCTGTCTCCTCGACCATTGTCCCATTTACGGCACAGGACTCCATCCTGAAGCAGCAAGCTGTCCCATTGGGCCCAATAGCTTTTCGTGGTTGAACTCATCGCTGAGACGTCCTTTCACTTAGGCTTGGTAGCACGGGCCTTCATCCATCCCAGAATCGGCTTGATGTCCGGATCTTCCTGCTGTGCATGTCGTAGGCTGTTCTTCCACCCGTTGCTGAGGTGATCTGTTCTGAGCATCCTCACGGATACCACTTCCTTACCTTGCCTACTACAATGGTTGCAATCTTCAGGACAAGGTGTTGTCAATGCATCTGCATTGCCGTGTTATTTCCCGCTGCAGTGTCTGACAGTAAAGTCGTATTCCTGCTGCTGCTGGGCGGTGTTGTTAGCCGCACTTCCTTTCTGAGACCGTTCACCTTCCCTTCCTAGGGTGTGCTTAGGGCAGCTGTTATATATGTATATAACAGCTGATATGAATAATATTATGTGCTGCAGATGTAGGAGCTACCGACAGGCCTTCAGCCGGTGGCTGGCCCTCCGACGTCTGCGGCGTTGCACCACCAAATCTTCGTTGGTCCGTCTCCTGCTGGCGTTGACTTCGGGTACGGACACCCTCGGTTTCCTCCTTAGGTAAAATCGGCATGATTTTATCCCACTTCTGACACCAATTGTTACGAGCTTGAGGTTCGTGACAATAAAAATTGCCGATAAAATTACCTAAATTAACACTTTAATTTACTTTACACAAATTAAAGTTAAAAACACTAATAATTAAACACACTTATTCACTTTATTCCGCTCCGAAGCTTTGCTTGTTTCGCCAAATCAACACTACTTCGATCACATCTTGCAGCGCCTACTTATATAAATTAGCAAAATATCCAGAATGTTCAAGTAAACACGCGCAAGGTACCGAGAGTTCGAGTTTTAAACTTCAAGAAGTTTAGTTCTTTGGTTCGAGACTAGATGGCACTAGTGCGCCGATTTTAGCGCGTAACAGTATTTTCGGGTCCATTGACGTCTGCTTGATCCATTAACAATCTTAGTTGACTTTTTTTTGGAAATTCTTCAGTTAAGCTTGCTCTATACTGTGACTGACTTTCTGCAGTTAAATTATAAAACTCATTAAATATCTTTTGCCTCAGATATCCAGGAAACTTATCAGCACATTTTTTTTTGCAATACAAGGAAGGAGGCCCAAGTTCTTTAGCTGGTTTTAATATACCTTTGCATGATGTATAGCTTATGTCATTAATGCTGTTCTCCTTCCTAATATTTCTTCTCCACAACTTTATTGATTGGAACACTCAGGAACAGCTACCATAGAAGCATGATTTGAGTTAGTGCTGATAAGATTTATAGAAACATCAGTAATTTCAGCATGAGATTCTTCATTATGCAATAAAGAACTGTTAGTCTCATAAGATTCCGCTATGTAATCATCAGAACTATTACATGATAGATCAATGTAATGTATTAGTGAGCTCTGGTTTTCCATCTTGTTGACCATCTGCAAATAAAAATATTATAACCACTATGACACTATTACAGATTCAACAATTAGCTTTATCATTCCATGTTTTCTCGAGAAAACGTCGCCGAGTACCGGGACAAACTTGTGTCTGAAGTCGCGATTTTGTTGAAAAAAGTCTTTTTTTTATAGGATAAGGTGACAAACGAGCACACAGTCCACCTGATGGTAAGTGGTTGATGTGGCCCATAGACATTTACATCTATCCTCGATTACGAACCAAATTGCAGATGCGTTGTCACCTGTGAGGACTAAGATGGAATGCCTCGTTTCCAGTAATAAGCGTATCCGGTTCTCTTCACTCACCATACGAAAAAGTGCAGCATTAAGTTACTATTTTAAACTGGTATTCTGTGAAAGTGTGATCCTTCCCAGGTTGAACCGACCCATTCGTGCTACAAAAATACTACTAATATAACTGCATCATGGCTCTACCACGTATAAAAGTAAGTCTCGGACTGGGGCGACTAAATCTAGTCCAGTTTAATCCCCAGAAGATACAAGTTTGCGCGTTTACCGCTAAGAAGAAATCCTTCGTCGTATCTCTTCAGTTTCAAGGCACTTGTTGCCTCAGTCAGTATCGGAATGCTCGGGGTCAACATATCGAGTAACGTGCAGTTTTGTGGTCGCTTGGAAGAGAAGGCCAACTTGGCCTCCAAAAAGCTTGGCGTGCTCAGCAGTGCAGGACAGTATTTCATGCCGGCTCACCGCCTGCAACTTAACAAGGCGCTGGTTTGGCCGCACATGGGATACTGTTCCCATCTCTGGGCGGGGGCTAGCCGGTGTCAGCTCCTTCCACTTGATCGCATCCAGTAATACCATACCATCTGTATGACTGGCGGTCCAACACCGTGCGATTTAAAAGATGTTTTCTTCCTTCTTAGCACAACTTCCGTGTGGAATCGACTACCATCAGAGATTTTTCCAGACCGATACGTCTTAAAGACCTTCAAGAAAATCATCATCTGCAATTCCCCTGCTGTTGCAGTTGTACATGGGCGGCGGTAATCACTTACCATCTGGTGAGCCGTATTCTCCTTTGTCCCCTGCCCTACAAAAACAAATGTTAAATTCAATCATATAAATACAAGATAGTAAATATAAAATGTCTTTAACTCACCACCACCATTTGCACATGCTTCGAGTTCCATAGATGACTAATCAAGTTCATTTTGATTGTTATAGAGAACTGCAAAATAATATTGGTCATTCATCAGCATAAAAATGGCAAAATGCGGGTGACGGTGTGTTTAATGATCTTCCACACTATGTTCTTGTATAGATTCACCAAAAATTTGCAATAAAACCTGTAATTTTACAGATTTCTACGCAAAAATAAGGAAGAAGACATAAAAAATCTTACAGTAGTCGGTTCTCCCTAGTCAGTGTCATCACCATATTCGAGTATTTGAAACATTCTAGCATTACGGTTATCTTTTAATATTTTATGTTTGTTAACTCTAAGAAGCAATAAATCAGTAAGCACACAACAAAAACGAAAATCTATTTTGAAACTCAAACTAATTTAAAACGTTTTAACGCGCCCATTTTACTATATAACTGCTATTTTGATATGGGCATATTTTTTTATAACTGGCTTTACAGATCTGGGTTCTAGCCCTTCTGAGCATTGCGTTTGATTCGACCACAGAATGCATAGAACAATGCTTTCCATTTTATGTAAAAAGGGTAAATGTAAACATATATATTTAGCAGACAATCATATTTTGGTTTTATAATCATCTCTAGCAGATACCTAAGATAAGTGCCAGTTCCTTAAATCTTGAGCTGTTTTTCTTTTATTGTTCTCTTTTCTTAGCAGCTCATGTTTCCCTCGTGCCGGCTAATGTAGTAATCGAATTAATAACAAGTAAATCAGAGAACCACGCAGATACATTCCACCTATTTGTTCCACTCGCAATACCATGCTTTATTCGCGCACCAATAATTTTGGGGTCTTTAGTCCCGGAATCGACCCTGTGGCTCAACCACATTTGGTACCTTATTGTGTTATTTCAATCCGAATTTGAATTAGCAACCTGTAGCTCAATTATTATTTCTGTGACTGGTGCTAAAAGGGCCAAAGTACGTTTTTTTAAATGAGATTTTGAAGCCATATTACTGAAAAAGTATGAAAGGGGACGCCCATTTTCGGCCATGGAACGCCCAACAATGTGAATTTGTTAAAAAATTATATCTTTATTTATGGTTATTAATCGCGGTATTCATTTATCCTCAAACAATGGGAATATTTTTGCACAAATTAAAAGTACCGGAAACATAATAATAAAAATTAGGTAAATCATTATGTCATTAGTTTGTGAATAAAAAAAAAGTGTTGCCAATCACAAAACACATTTAAAAAATCGATTCTCTTTTTCGATTGATTATTTACGGTGTCATCATTACAGTTCTAATATAATTTTTAAATAATTATGATGTTACGATAATTAAACAAGCGAATTACTAGCTGATTTATAATGAATTCTTTAGAGAGTAACAAATGCTACGGCACAATTTAACTGTTAATCTTAACCGATCTTCTTTGAAAACAGATAAGAACTGTTATTCTTATCTGTTTTTAAAGAAGATCGGTTAAGTTATTCTTATCTGTTTATAACAACACATTTAAAATAGAATCATGTTATGATAACGAAACAAGTTAGTTTCCAGCTGATTTACCATGAATCCTTTAACCTTTTGAGCGCCAAAGTCGCCTATACTTGACCAACACCTGCGGGCCCTGAGCGCCAACGACGTCTATAGTTGACAAAAAACCCGGCTCCGAAAAATGTGAAATATAGATATTGGAAAATTATTACAGGTATTTTAATTCTACACTCCTCAAAATAGGAATAACCCAGCAACATGTGAGTATAAAAAACAAGTCTTCTAGAGCCACAAGTACTAAGAAACATTGAACTAATAAAAATGGATTTTTATCTAAGCAAATACTATGTCCAGCACGCCAAAGTCGTCTATGGTTGACCGCTAGTGTCAAACGCGGGAGGCATAGATTTCTTGAAAACTATCCAAAATTCAGCTCAATGGTGTTTTTTTTCTATTATTATTAATATTTGAATAAAATTAAAGGTTATAAACATAAAACTATAATTAGCTACATGAATAAAAAAATGTTATCAGATTATCTTCGCATAATAAATCTAATATCTCAACTCTAGCGCATCTTTAGCGCGTCATCGAAAATCAGTTCACTGGGCACCGTGATCAAGGATAGACGACACCCTGATGACGTCATAAGTGATTACCGAGAAAAGTAGAGCAATGCAACATGAACGATTCCTCAGAACTCATTCGTATTTTGAAAAGCGTCGATGATGATGAATTTTGATTTTTGATTGATGAATTGAATTTTTGATTGATTGGTGAACAAATATGTTTATTTATTCCATGACCAAGATTTTAGTATTATAAGGCTGATTTACCTAGTGCGAATAATTATATACAATTGTTGATTAATGAATAATTATGTACCTTTTTTTAATAATAATACAAAATTACAATTAATGTTTTTTTTAATTAGGGTGTGAAGAGCAATTTTTCATTTTGTGTTGTGCCATTTTCTTTCTCAGTCTCAAAATCATCTAGCAGCATCAGCATCATATCAAATCCCCATTGTCATAAGAGTGTAAGACTTTTCTTCTGTGCGTCACTTGGCCTACGCCTTCCCCGACACATAAAATATTATGAATCGATGTCTGTATATTTCGGTTAGATCGATTTTGAAATCGATACACAACATTCTAAGAATGTTTCAAAAGGGAAGGTCAGCTACGCCGTTGTCGTCCAGTCGCGACAGTGTCGTCATTAGGATGGAGAGTATTGCTAATGTTTACTACTATTTTATTGTTATTGTTTGTTTTTTATTTATGTTTATATGTACAAAGTACATATATAAAAAGAGTGGAAGACGGCACAAGATTAAATAAAACATACAGTTTATTAAGAGTCATTTATAGCATAAAAAACCAACAAAAACAAGTTATTTCACGTTATCGATATATCAACTCTTGGCAACACTATTTTGTTTTGGCGCTTTGGCGTACAGGACACAGTAATGCGTTTTTGGCGTGGCGCTCAAAAGGTTAAAGCTTAACAAAACGCTACTGCACAATTTTTATCAATTTCAAGACAATAACAACCGTTGTTATCGGCTTGGTTGAAAACGTTAACAACCGCCTTCACATCTGTAGTTATGATAATTAAATAAGCGATTTAATAGCTGATTTACAATGAATTCTATGCAGTATAACATAACGCTACTGCACAATATAACTGTTATTCTTATCTTTTCTTAACAATACATTTAAAATGAAATCATGTTACGATAATTAAACAAGTGAATTTCTAGCTGATATACCATGAATTTTTTAGAGCTTCATAAAACACTACTGCACAATTAACTGTTCTTAAAAATACACTTAAAATAGAATTTAAATAAAAAAAGAAAATACATTTTAAAAAGCGAGCAGAAGTTAAAACACCTCCCAGATTATTCTCTTTTTTATAAAATTATTAATCGAATAATAATCGAATCGCTATGGATATTATGATGTTATGATAATTAAACAAGCGAATTACTAGCTGATTTACTATGAATTCTTTAGAGTACAATAAAATGCTACTGCACAATTTAACTGTTATTGTTATCTGTTTTAACAATACATTTAAAATGGAATCATGTTATGATAATTAAACAAGTGAATTTTTAGCTGATTTACCATGAACTGTTTAGAGCATAACAATACGCTACTCCACATTTTAACTGTTCTTAAAAATACGTTTAAAACATAATTCAAAAAAATAAAAGAAAATATATTTTAAAAAGCGTGTAGCGTAACTGAAAGCGAAACTCAAATATTATTATTTTTTCATTAAATTACTAATCGAATACAAATCGATATCGTTTCGTTGTATTTATGTTAGTTATGTAGCAACATCAAATCTGACAGCTATAGGAAATATGTCATGCGAAATGAAATCACAATTCAACAAGTAAAAAGGTACTAGTGAATTCACAACTAAATAGTTGCCATTGCGTTATTTTGTTTGTTATTTTTCAAATAAATTCTTAAGAACTCATATGGAGTGAGATTGTCGATCACATTATAGTGTGACAACAGTTAAAAGTAAGTGTTCAACAGTTTTTAATTTATTAATTCTAGTGCTGATATTTGATAGTGATGAATGTATGAAATGATGAAGTTGTTTTATTTTTTAACATATGCACAAGCTATACCTGACAAACAAAATAGCTTATTTGTAACACGGCGATAAGATTAGCTAGCTAACACCAGATAGTTACGAAATGGACAATTTTTATCAAATACCAAGAAATAAGACAGTCGATTTTTAATTGTTTTTGGACTACTGGTAGGCAGTCAGTCCTTAATTATTAAATAATATAGGGCATTAAGTTGCCGTGTAGTGGCGGTTAAGAATATCCACTACCCCATATCTTCCCGTGGGTGTCGTAAGAGGCGACAGAGGGAGACAGGCAGGAGATGGGCAGCAGCGTCTTCCTGATGACAACTGTGACGTAATAAAAAACTGCGGTTGCCAACCCGCTCGCCAAGCGTGGCAACTATGGCAAATACCCCCCAATGAATAAATACACAAATAGACGGCCCCCAGTCCCCGGCGGCCCCGCTATTCCTGGCTACGGTGGCGACCATGGTAACGGCGGGGCAGGGGGTGCTAAGAATCTCCGGTGGAGGTTCGGTTGCCACCTACGACGACTCGACCTGGCAACATATAACGCACGCACCCTGAGAACTGACGAGAAGATACTGGAGCTGGAAGAAGAGGTAGACAAGTTGCGCTGGCATATTATTGGATTATCCGAGGTCCGAAGAGAGGGGGAGGACACGACAATACTCGAGGCCGGCAACTTGTTCTATCACCGGGAGGGCGACCATCTGTCCCAAGGAGGTGTCGGATTTATCGTCCACAAATCTCTCGTCAACAACGTTGTAAAGATCGGGAGTGTGTCGACGAGGGTCGCGTACCTGATACTCAGAATCACCAAACGGTATTCGCTGAAGGTCATTCAGGTTTACGCACCAACCTCGGCACATCCCGATGAGGAGGTGGAGGAAATGTATGAGGATATTTCCAGAGCCATACATTCCTCCAAAACCTACTACACGG